CCTTGGAGAAAGTGAAGATGATTCAAGAGCAACTTTGTACAGCACAGTCCAGACAAAAGAGTTACGTGGATCGAAAGGTGCGTGACTTATCATTTATGGTGGGCGAGAGGGTTCTCTTGAAAGTCTCGCCGATGAAGGGGATTATGAGGTTCGGGAAGAAGGGCAAGTTGAGCCCAAGTTTTATAGGTCCATTTGAGGTGTTGAGACGAGTTGGGGAGGTTGCTTATGAGCTTGCTTTGCCTCCCAGTCTATCGGGGCTTCATCCGATTTTCCATGTGTCTATGCTCCAGAAGTATCATGCCAACATGTCGCATGTGTTAGATTACATCACGATTCAACTAGATGAGAGCATGGGTTATGAGGAGGGGCCAATTGCCATTGTTGACAGACATGTTCGCCAGTTGAGTTCCGATAAGATTTTTGCGGTAAAGGTTAAGTGAAGAGGTCAACCACTTGAGGAGGCAACTTGGGAGACCGAGGATCACATGCGGAGCATATACCCACACTTATTCGCCACTCTGGGTACAATTCTAGACCCGTTAGAGGACGAACGTTTGTTTAAGAGGTGGAGAATGTAACGACTTGACTGGTCGTTTTTCTTTCTAAATCCTTGTTTCCCTAAATAATACTCCCCGTATGTGCTTTTACTATTTTATGACTTGCGAGGATGGTTAGTTCGGGTTTGGAAGGGTTCGGGTTGAAATCGTAACACTTAGTTCCTTAATATTGGATTAAAATGGTTAGTTTGACTTGAGTCAACATTTTGAGTAAACTACCTCGGAACAAGGATTTGTCGGTCCCAATAGGTTCGTATGATTATTTTGGACTTGGGCGTATGTTCGAATCCGGGTTTGGATGACCCAGGAATGTTTCGGCGCTTAATGTTGAATGTTGGCGCATTAAAGGTTTTCGAGTTTTTTATATTTGGTTTGATGTAGGTTTTGGTGTTATCGAGGTCCGTTTGGGATTCAGAGCCTGGGAATAGTCCCGTATAGTGATTTATGACTTGCACACAAAATTTGGTGTCATTCCGCGTAGTCTATGTATGATTCGGCACGTTCAGAGCAAGTTGGAAGAACTTGAAGTTCATGAGTTAATTTGATTTGGTTTAGGGTGCAATTCTTATTTTTGATGTGTTTTACGTGTTCCGAGGGGTCGATCAAGTTCATCTCATGATTTCTTACTTGTTGGTATGTTTGGGCGAGGCCTAGGAGGCCTCGGTGCTATTCGGACGAGGTGCGGAAGATGGTTGAGCTTGGAAGGAGGGATAAAGCAGCAGGGGTTCTGATGCAATCTTACCTGGGAAGAACCTACCGCAGGTGCGAGCTCGTAGAAGCAAGCTATTGCCCGCAGAAGCGTCCTGTGTGGATTGTCCAGTGGTCACAGAAGTGGAGCAGGAACCCCACCTGCGAACTCGCAGGTGCAAAGAAGGCGATCGCAGAAGCGGAAGGGGACCAGCCAGCCTTGGTTCGCAGGTGCGACGCTTTCGCCGTAAGAGCGAGGCTTGGCCCACATATGCGAAAATGGCAGACCTGGGCATGGTCCGCACCTGTGATGATTTATTCCGCAGAAGCGGAGCCGCAGGTGCGATAGTGCGATTGGAGGTGTGAAAACCTCTAAAGGCAGTGAGGTTCATTTAATGTCGAGACTTAGGCTATTTTGGTTCATTTCTTTCACTTCTTGGACGATTTTAGAGCTCTTTGAAGAGGGGTTTTTACCTACCACTTTGAGGTAAGTAATTTCTATATAAGATGAGTTTAATACATGCATTTTGGGTAGATTCTTAACATATAAATTGTAGAAATTGTGGATTTAGTGGCAAAACCTAAGTTTTGATAAAAATGAGATTTAACAACGAAAATTATTATGGAATTGGGTGAAAATTATATATTTGCTTTCGTGAGGTTATGGGTAATAATTATCTTCGAAATGTTTCGGAATCCGGGCACGTAGGATCCAGGGTGAATATTAGGGATCTTCCAATTTGGGTTGGGTAATTACTCTAATAGTTAAATTATGAACTTGTGGGTGTATATTAATTAATTTATATAATATTTGGCTAGTTTCGGGTTATTTGGAATCAAGTTGAGTATTTAGAGCAGATTTGTGGACCGGAAGTGAGCTTGAGAACGAGGTACATCTCTTGCAAAACTTTGTAAGAGGGAACTCATCCCCTTAGGTGTATCTTGTTGTGTATTACTTATGCGGGGAGATACGTACGTACTAGGTGACGAGAATCCGTGCGTAGCTATATTCCATGATATGTCTGGGTAGTCTTAAATCCACATCATGCCTTAATTGTACCATTATTTTTATTATGCATATTAATTGTTTTGAATAGAACTGAGGCTACGGATTTTAAAGTGGCAAATTTTAAATTTAGATTTCTTATTTTTGGGAAGAATTGAGGAAATACATAATAAATCTGAGAAATCCATGTCCTCTAGCATCGAAAGTACTTCCGCGAGCGAGGTATACTTTTCTACTCTCATGGGAGCAGGCCGTTCGCCTCGGCAGTATAATAGATGCATCTATGGTTCGTGTCGTTCGACCCTCGATAGTGCACACAGTATTTTGGATCGGTCCATACGACCTCTGCATAAATCGTGCGTGATAATATTCGAAGCCCGATTACACTTGATATTATTTTATGGCTTGAGAGGTTATAATCTGTTTAATGACCAAAATTGATTTGGAACTAGTAAGTGTTAGTTGGAGACTTTGGAATTTACTATCTGTTAAAGAATCATTTATTCACTAATTGCTATTGTGTTATTATTAGTATTCACATATTCCATGTCTATTTAGAATTTCTTTATTTTATTTGTTGGCCCATAGTAAGTGTCAATGTCGACCCCTCATCATTACTTCTTCGAGGTTAGACTGGATACTTACTGGGTACATGATATTTATGTAATCATGCTACACTTCTTCACTAATCGTGCAGGATATGAGGTAGGTGCATCTGGTGTCCATTCAGGCGCGCACCCCCGTTATCCTGAGGCTTAGTGGTGAGATGCTCTCTAAGTCTGTTTTGCAGCACCCGCGGTGTCTCTCTTTTGTATTTACTTTCTTTTTATCTCACTTTCAGACAGTAGCTTAGGTGTTTTGTATATTCTACTAGTTGCTCATACACTTATGACACCGGGTCTTGGAAACATGCTAGTAGACACTTTATGACTTTTGAGTATTTATTTCATCATATTTGCTCTTTTATTAGTTTACGCTTTACTTTATTAAGTTTTCCACTTTTTATTTACTTAATAAATAAAAATCAACTACTTTGAAATTATTAAAAAGGAATAAATATATGGCTAGTTCACTGTTAACTTGCCTAGCATTGACGTTGGGATCCATCATGGTCTATAGAAGGAATTGGGTCGTGACACTTGGGACTCTTGTCTCTCACTTATGCGAGTGTATCCTCTTAATCAACAACCCTTATCATGTTAGCAGTCTTCTTCCAACAAACTCGGACCTGGATAACTTTGAGATAAAGTTACTGTCTTGCAAACACGTACAATCATCAACCTTGAGGAGCTGATTCTTAGAGCAGTTAAGCAGCTACGTTGAGAACCTGGTTCTTAGAGCATTTCATCTGAAGCAAACTTTGTTAATCATCCAAATCTCAATATTCAACAAATTCTCCCTTTTTGATGATGACCATATTAGAACCAGGTAATCACCAATCACCTCATATCATCATACTATGACCAGAATAGGTACACCATCTGTACAACAAGCCCACATACATGCACATCAATACCAACAACCCCAACTCTATCTTTACCCTTTGGCATCATTGAAAATAACAAAAAGATGTTTAGACATACAAAGCACAGTTAATGAAAGATTCATGACCATTTAGGCTACAACACAAGCTCAAGAATTATCAAAGAAAAAAAACTAAGATGATGATATAACCATGTGTGAAGCATTAAAACATTATAAGAGAAGTCATTTAACAGTGCCAAAGTAAGCCTAGGGCCTTGACACAAAACATTGGAGCAAAATAAACTAAACATCTTGCAACTTACTCAGAACTAGAACAAAGGAAACAAGAACTAAATCATCATTGGTATAACACAATAAGCTAAGGACATTGGGGGAAGGACTAGGTTCATGGGTGAGAGGAAGATGGGGTCAATGCTTTCACAAGGGTGACAATATGTTGGGCATTAGCTTCTCTGTCCCTTCTAAGCTCCACCCTAAGCCGTCTGGTTTCTTTTCTTAATTCATCATTATCTTCTCTAAGCTTGGCATTCTCCTCAAGAGCTAACTCCAATCTCTTAGTGAGCTTTGCTGCCTTGCTGTTACCAGGCAGTATAGCAGAATCTGTTGCCCCCCTAGACTTGATCTCCTCATAGCCACATTGCTTGAGGGTAACAACATCCAAAACATCATTGTGGTTTCCAAACTTAAGCTAACGCAAGGCAATATTGAGCTTATCAAAAGCTCAGTTAACATGAAGCCATAAGGCATATCATGCTTAGGCTTGGAAGTATCTACAACCCTTGCCATGTGCTGAATCATCAAGCTAGGGAGATTGATAGCTCTACCAGTGTCAAGTAATTCCATCATATCCATGTCCAATAGAGTAGCCTCGTGCCTTCTCATATCTCTGAAAAATGCAGGAGTTCACAAAGTGAAAGTGTGAAACAGTAGATTTTGAAAGGGAGTCATGTTAGTCTTATACACCTTCTGGGGAGAATCCAATTCAAACTTCTAAGAGAACTTCCTTTTAACAACAATTTCTGTGTCCACATCATTGTCTATAGCTGGCCACTTTTTCTTTAAGTAATTGTCAAAACCTAAGGAGGGAATATTTAGAAACATCCCAAGCTCTTCAATATCAAACTCCATCTCAAGCCCCCTTATATTACTCTTGACCACTTTTTTTTATCAAATTGGAAGTTTACATAGAATTCCACCACATCAGGCACACACACAAGAGGGAAAGCCTTGACAAACATGTGTCTCCATCCCTGTAGCTCAAGTTTTTAAACTAATTGAGCCATCCCTTTCTCATTAGTGTTTGCTAGAATTTTCCCATTCAGCACTTTTCTGTTCTTGAACTCAGTGAGCTTATCAACCACAAGAGGCATACCCTTCCTTTTCTTTCCTTTACTGGCCCATTTAGATAGGGTAGCTGCCTTGGTAGATTTGACAGCCTTTCTCTTTTGTGCTGATGTCTTTTCTTGCAAAGTAGAATCAGACTCATCTTTTGCATCCAACTCAATAACAGGTTCAACAACTAGATATTGCTTCCTTGGCTTCTTGGCACCTCTGGACTCCTTAATGATTTGTTCATCAACAACCTTTATTTTACTCCTTATGAGAGGAGTCCTAGAAGGAGGATCCACTTCTTTTCTTGCAGGGATAACTGACTTTGTAGTCTGCAGAGGGGCCTTCTTGCTTTTCTTTCCTACTGCAGACAGGGGTAGATTATCCTCATCACTACTTACCTCCTTATCTCCGGTGAAAGGAGTTAAAAAGGGCCCAGTTTTTTCAGTCCTTTTCTCTCCACTTACTTCTTTTGAAGGGGTTATGACAGTGTTTCCAATAGCTATAGAGCCTTCAGATTCCCCATATGCATTCTAATTTTCTTCTTCCTTACCTTCACTCTCAGAATCACCTTCTTCCCCGCTATCCTTTTTTTCCTCTCCATAATCACCCACCCGTTCATCTAACTTTTCTTCTGCCTCACTTTCCTTCTGCTCACCAGATTCCCCCTTATTCTCACTCTTTTTCTCATCAATATCATTAGCCATGTACTGAGCCTGATGCTCCTCGTGAATAGCCACCACTCTTCCTTCTTCCTCGCCTTCATCATCATCCTCATCCTCAACATTAATGGTTCTTTATCACCATAGGCATAACATTAGTGGTTTCTATCCTTTTCTCTTGAGTTGCTATGTTCGTTTCTATAGTAGGTTCCTCCACTCGTGGTTTGTCACTTGTGGGTGGAAACATATCTAAGGGTGCAACATCAATAGAAGAAAACAGAACATCTAACTTTGATGGAGTTAATTTTACCCGACTTATAATAGTTGACACTGATTCCCCCTGGACCACAGTTTCCTTGACTATTGTATCCACCTTAGCAGCAACATCAATCACCACATTATCACTTTTAACAGATTTTCTTGGAGTAGCCTTGATTTTAGTGGACTTAGAGGTATTTTTCGAGGCAGACACATGTGCATGGGCAGGTGGTTTTGGAAGTGAGGGTCCAGTAGAAGTGGGAATAGTGTGTGCAACAGGAATATGGGATGATGGTACAGGTACAATGAAGGATATAAGTGGAGAAGGAGCAGTTGTAGGTGCAAGTTCACTTGACAATTTTGCAATTTTCCTTGGTTTGGGCTTCATGTTCTTGGGTTTGGCTTCAGTCTTGGATGATGATTTTTCTTTAGAAGAAGTTTGGCTGGATTTAGGCATGGTGATGAGAGAATGAAATCGAGGAAGGGAATGAGAGAATATTTCTTGATTCTTGCTTAGGGTTTGAGAGGAACAGTGAGGTCTAAGAGACAGATCATAAGGGGCCTTTAAAGAAGTAACTCCTGATTTGATTGAAGAAATGGAGTAACCAAATTTGAGTTCTAACGAGACTCTAATAACAGTTACTTTTGACTGTTAGAATTTTAGGAGTAATTAAACTCTAATTGCTCTAGGATTCCCCCTTAGTCTTGACTGGATGAAAATTAGGAGTGATGTTAACAGGATTAGAAAGTCTGAGTATAGTAGTAATTTTAGATATTAAGCCCCAATGAATTAAGACAAGATGGCATGTACTTGAGTCAAAGAACCAAATCCTTAGTGACTCATCACTCATTTCTACAATAAAGCTTCAACACTGTAGGTTAGTATCATAAGACATAGTTATCATCTAGACTTTTCTAGGCAAGTGTGTGCTCAAAACAAGCACACCATATACATCTAATTATATTTTCTAGCCAATCATTGGTGTTCAACCTAGTTGGAAGTATTAATAAGACCCAGTTCCAGTCTATTCCTTTCAAAGTGATCCACACTCAGAGCTTTAGTAAAATTATTAGCAATTTGGTCTTCAGTTTTACAAAAGTTAATTGAGATATTCCCCTTTTCAATATTGTCTCTGAGAAACTGATGTCTAATGTCAACGTGCTTGGTTCTATTATGTTGACAGAGATTTTTAGCAATTTTTATGGTACTAGTGTTGTCACAGAAAATAGGAACACAACCAACAAAAATACCATAGTTCCTTAGTTGTTGTCTTATCTGCAGCAACTGAGCACAACAAGATGTTGCTGCCACATATTCAACTTCAGCTGCAGATAAAGCCACTGAGTTCTGCTTCTTTGTTCCCAGGACACCAGACATGAACCAAGAAAATGTGTTGTTCCTGAAGTGCTTTTCCTGTCAACATGAAAACCTGCATAGTCAGCATTATCATAACTAACTTGATCAAAGCTATACCCTCTAGGATACCATAGACATATATCGGGAGTACCTTTAATATATCTGAGTATCCTCCTAACAACCTTCAGAAGAGACTCTTTGAGATTTGCCTGAAATCTTACACACAGTCCTACATTGAATACAATATTAGGTCTGCTTGTTGTGAGATGCAACAATGACTCAATTATTCCTCTATATAACTTATGTTCAACATTTTTTTCATCAAGGTTGCAATGGCAATGGGAGTGTCTATGGACTTATAAGAGTCCATGTGAAATTTCTTCAGCAGTTCCTTGATGTATTTTTGCTGATGTATAATGGTTCCAATAGGTGTTTGCTTGATTTGTAACCCCAAGAAGAAGTTCAATTCACCCAACATGCTCATTTCAAACTCATTCCATCATCTCGGCAAATTCTTTGCACATTGCTTCATTAGTATCTCCAAAGATAATATCATCCACATACACTTGTACAATCAGAACATTTTTGCCTTTACTCCTCAGGAACAATGTGTTTTCCACCTTTCCTCTTACAAAGTTATTAGTTAAGAGGAATTTTGAGTCTTTCATACCATGCTCTTGGGGCTTGTTTCAGTCCATACAGGGTTTTGTCTAACTTGAACACATAGTCAGGAAATTCTTCACTCTCAAACCTAAGAGGTTGTTTAACAATCACTTCCTCCTTCAGGTAACCGTTCAAGAATGCACTCTTTACATCCATTTGATACAGGGTGAACTTCATCTGTGCAGCAGAAGCTATTAGCATCCTTATAGCTTCTATTCTGGCTGCATGTGCAAATGTCTCATCATATTCAACGCCTTCTTCTTGATTGTATCCCTGAACCACAAGTCTGGCCTTGTTCTTTGTGATATTTTTCTTGTTCATCCAGTTTGTTTCTGAACACCCATCTGGTATCTATGACAGTTCTGTTCTTGGGACTTTGTACCAAGTGCCAGACCTTGCTTCTTTCAAACTGATTTAGCTTCTCTTACATGGCTATAATCCAATATGGATCCTTTAGATCTTCCTTTATATTATTAGGTTCAACATGTGAGAGGAATGTTGTAAGTGCACACAGCTTTCTTAGAGATGACCTAGTTTGCACTCCAGCATTAGGATCAGAGATGATGTTCTCAAGGGAGTGTGAACTTTGATGTTTTCATGGTCTAATCTATGTGTGCAGCAAAAGTTGTTAGCATCCTTATAGCTTCCATTCTACCTACATGCGCAGATGTCCCATCATATCAATGCTTTCTTCTTGATTGTATCACTGAACCACAAGTCTGGCATTATTCCCTGTGATATTTCCTTGTCCGCCCAGCTTGTTTCTCAACACCCATCTAGTACATATGACAGTTCTGGTCTTGGGTCTTTGTACCAAGTGCCATACCTTGCTTTTTTCAAATTGATTTAGCTCCTATTGCATGGCTATAGTCCAATTTAAATTCTCTAGAGCTTCCTTTATATTCTTAGGTTCAACCTGTGAGAAGAATGATTTGAGTGCACATAGATTTCTCAAAGATGACATGGTTTGCACTACAACATTAGGATCAGAGATGGTGTTCTCAAGGGGGTGTGAACTTTGATGTTTCCATGTTCTAATCTGCATCCCCAAAGATAGTTCACCCAAGGAGTGACCCTAAGGAACAGTGTGAGTAGGTAGAACTTCATCAGTCTGGTTAGCAGTCAGAGTAGTTCTCTCTTCTTCGTGTTCCTCATGTTCACTCTCAACTTCCTTAGGATCTCCTGATCCATCTTCATGTTGAGGTTCAAGTTCTTTAGAATCTCCTTCATCAGTGAGTCCTATGTCATAGTCTTCATCCAATAGACCTTTCTTAGCCATGTTGTTAGATTCATCAAAAATAACATGGATATTTTCTTCTATGCACATAGTTCTTTTATTAAAAACATTATAGGCTTTACTATGTGGTGAGTAACCCAAGAAAATTCCCTCATCACTTTTGTCATCAATCTTACCTAGAGTTTCTTTGCCATTATTGTGCACAAAACATTTGCACCCAAATGCTATCATGTGAGTGATGTTGGACTTTCTTCCTCGAAGTAACTCATAGGGAGTTTTATCAAGAATGGGTCTGACCATGCATCTGTTTAGCAAGTAACAAGCAATATCGAATGCCTTAGCCCAAAAGCTCATAGGCAGTCCACTAGCAATCAACATGGTCCTCCCCATGTCTTCTAAGATATCTATTCTTTCTTTTCACAACACCATTTTGATGTGGAGTTCTAGGTTCAAAGAATTTATGATCAATGACATGTGTGTTACAGAACTCAAGAAATTTAGAATTTTCAAACTCAGTTCCATGGTCTGTTCTTATACTCAAAACATTACAGCCCAGAAACCCTCAAAAGTTTCATCTTTAGATGCCAAAAAGAGGGTCCATGTGTACCTATAAAAGTCATCTACAATGACAAATACATACCTCTTACCTCCCATGTTCCTTACTCTCATTGGTCCACATAGGTCCATGTGACGGAGTTCCGGGGGTTTGAAGGTGTTGATAACCTTTTTATATTTAAAAGATGACCTTACATGTTTCCCTCTGACACAGGAAACACATACCTTGTCTGAGGTGAACTCAACTTTTGGTAGTCCAAGGACCAGGTCCTTTGCTGCCAACTTGTTGAGTTGAGAAAGACTAGCATGACCCAGTTTTCTATGCATAACAATGGGTCATCCTCCACTACACTTAAGCATGTGTGCTCACTCTGAGGAAGAGACATAATGGATATTTTGTGTCTCTTACCTTTTAACACAATTTCATCAGTATCAAGCTTAGTGACAGTGCAAATTTTGGAATTGAATTTTACCTCATTTCCTTTATCACACATTTGAGAAATGCTAAGGAGATTATGTTTAAAGAGTACGCCATAATACACATCTTCTATAACATGAGAGAGTGACTTACCGACCTTACCGATACCTGTTATCTGACCCTTTTTCTCATTTTCAAATGACACACTCCCTCCTTAGAAGGCTGTCAGTGAGAGGAAGTTTTTCTTTCTCGAGTCATATGTCTTGAGCATCCACTATCTAGATACCAGTCTTGATTGTTTTCTTTCACTTTAGCGTGCACCAGAAATCACAAGTTAGTCTTGGGAACCCAGACAAGCTTGGGTCCCTTTTTGTTTGAAAAAGGATGAATCAGATCTCTTCTTGCCCAGAAGGGAAGAGGATTAATAGCTATTTTATTGTTAACCTTAATTCACTTAATTTGGAAAAGAGGCTTGACTTTTGGTTCTTCTTCCTTCTTCATATTTTTAGCAAGACCAAAAGTGTTCCTAAACTGAGCATGAATTAAGGCAAGGCAAGTATCTCTAAAGTGTCCTACCTTCCTACAATGAGTGCACATCTTGTTATCAGAAATTCCTACATACTTTGGATCAAATTTGGGAACAAGTTTTCTATAGCCAATTCCTGATTTGTGAGTGCTATGTTTTCATTTAGCCAATTTAATACATATGAGAATCTATGCCACTTGCTTAGCCTAGATATTTCATAATTAGCCTTTTCTAGATTTTCTTGCAGTGCTTTATTCCTACATTCGGCATCACAAAGATCACTTTTAGCCCTTTTTAGTTCCTTTTCAAGCTTATCTTGCATATCACTCATTTTTCCCTTACCAAGTGTATCAAGTGATTTTTCATTTTTAGAAGTGAGCTCAAGAATATGGTTCTTAAGGTCTTTGACATGTCCTTCAAGATAAACTTTGTCAGATTCAATTTCCTTGAGGTCAAGTTTGACATATGAAAGGTTTCTTATTAAATGATCATTTTCATTACTCATCGTTTCCATCTCACTCATTATGGTCACAATTATGGCCATCAGTTATTTTTTAGACATAACATGAATATTTTCTTTCAAGTTAGAGATACTTATCTGATTTGTTTCATCTTCAGTCCCTGAATCACTCATGGCCATCATTCTTATTACTTCTTCTTCTGTTTGGCTTTCTTCAATTGCCATCAACGCCACTTCAATG